AGGTTAGTGGGCGCCGCCGACGCATATGCTTGGCAACAATAGTCTAGTTGGCTGCGAATGTAGGTTGTATAGAAACGGAGCAAGATTTTATGGTGTGCTCCCCAGGTGGTGCCAGTGAGGGCTTTAAGTATGGCGAGTCGGGGTTGTGTCGTCTGTTTAAGGTGTTGAATGTGTGCTTTCCAGGTAAGTAAGGGGGAGTCTAAGCGCATGCCAAGATATTTATGTTCTCGTACGTGTTGGATGGGAGTGTTGTGTATTGTGAGGGTGGGTAGATGAAGTAGTCTTTTTTTAGTGAAAATCTGATAGCAGGTTTTGGTAGTACTGACTTGAAGGCCCCATTGTTGTGTCCAATCTATGAGGTGGTCCAGTGCTGTTTGCATTGTAGAGACTGTATTTGGTAGGGCATTGTCTGAATAATACAATGTTAAGTCGTCGGCGTACGCCGAGAGGTGAACAGGATGGGTGTTAGGCAAATCTGCTAAGAATGCGGCAAATAGGGTTGGGCTTAGTATGGAGCCTTGTGGAACACCTGTTTGTATTGGGATGCCATCGGAAAACTCGCCTTGTATAAAGACTTTGGAGGTCCTGTTTGTGAGATAGGACTGTAACCATAAAAGTAATCTTCCCTGTACGCCTAAACGTGCAAGCTTTGCGAGGAGGCAAGTATGAGGAATGCTATCAAAAGCTCCTTTGAGGTCTAGGTAGACAACAAGACAATATTTACTGCTTCTGAGAGAGGTGCGGATTTCATGTTCAAGGCAGAGTATTTGATCTAGCGTGGAGCATTGCGGTCGAAATCCAGCTTGGAGTGACGGTATAATATTGTTATACTCTAGGTACCATTGGAGGCGAGTATGTACTAGCCTTTCCATGACTTTACTGAGGCATGATAGTAGGGAGATAGGTCTGTATGACGCAGGTTGGGATGGGTCTTTTCCTGGTTTAAGGAACGGAAGAATAATACTGGTCTGCCATTGTGAAGGAATATTTCCGTGAGTCCAGCATAGATTGTAATAGTTTAGAAGAGTGCTGTGTGCAGTCGGTGGAAGATATTTGATGAGTTCATATGGAATTCCATCCTCTCCAGGTGCCTTGCCAAGAGGTAGGCGGTTTAAGGCCAATCGTAGCTCGCTTAAGGTGTACATGTTGTCGACGCCGAGCATGGGCAGCGGTATGGCACGGTCAATTTCTTGTCTGAGGGAGAGTTCTTGGGCATGAAGGAAGGGTGTTGAGAGGGTAACTTTAAGGCATTCAGCGAGAACATTTGCACGCTCCTGAGGTGTTTGACAGAGTGAACCGTTGATCATCAGGGGGAACGAAGGGAATGTTGGGCGACCTTTAATGCTGTTAAATGTAGCCCAGACTTTTGAGTGTGGCGTTGTGGGTGTGAGGCTATCACAGAATGTTGCCCATGATGCTCGTTTTGCTGATAGTATGGTTTTTTTGGCCGCTGCTGTAGCCCGCCGGAGATTGACCCAGTTCTGTAGGGAGGGTTGACGTCTTTGTTTTTGAATGGCTCGTCGGCGTAAAGCGACTGTTCGTGCACATTCCGCGTTCCACCACGGTTTAAGTGGTTTGTTGGACCTATGTCCTGAAGTTTTCTTAAGCATTTGGGTGGCTGCAGAATTTATGGCCGAGGTGATTGTGGACAGGCGCTTGTTAGGGTCTACTTCGTCTGTGTCTGGGAGGCGGACAATATCAGCCCATTTTTTCTTGTCTAGGTACTTAATGTTCCACTTGGGAAGCGTAAGCGGGTGGGTTGGTGGGTGAAAGTTAGTAAATTTTATTATGAGGGGTTTGTGGTCACTACCAATATCTGGTCCAGTATGAAACTGTAGTTCATGTTGAAAGTGTGCAGAGCCAAAGCAGATGTCCAGTGAGGCTTCATAATTGGTTCTGTAGTTAAAGTAGGTTGCAAGGTAGGGCGGCGAAAGAAGATTATATGGTGTAGTGTCTAAGTAGTTGTACAGATCGGTGCCTGCAGTATTTTGGGTACCTCTACTCCATGTGGGGTGGTTAGCATTGAGATCACCTGTAACAATGATCGGGTGTCGTAATTGGTTAAGATAAAATTCCAGTTCATTTGAGTTTATTGTGCCTCCAGGGTTGTATATACCCAGAAAGGATATGTGTGTACCATTATAAGGTATTAGGCATGCTAGAACTTCTAGTTTACCGTTCACAAAATACGTTAGTGTTACAGGTTTACATGTCATATTACTACGTGTTAGAAGGAAAATACCACCACCCATACGGTTGGGTCTGTCCAGTCTCTGCATCTGAAAGTTTTTAAATATATGGGATTTTGTTTGGGAGTGAGCCAGGATTCGGTGATGAATGCTAAGTCCGGTTTGGATGAGTAGAGGAATTGTTTAAGTTCTGTGAGGGATGTTTTGACGCTTTTTGCGTTCCAAGTCATGAAGGTTAGGGGAGCCATTTAGGATGTTTGGGTTGTGGATGTGTCTGTTTTCTTTGGTGCGCCAATAGTGGTACGAGTTGGATACCTAGATGTGGATGGGGGCTGTGTCTTACTCTTGGTACCGGTGGTTGGGGTTTGTGGCACGTCAGCCTGGGGAGTGGTTTTGGTGAGGCGCGCTAAGGAGGTAATTAGGAGTTTTTCCATCATCTGATCAAACAATGTGTGTCCAGCAATGGTAGCTTTATTTGGGCGGATGTCAGTGTCTGTAGCTGTTGATGGGGGGTCTGTTGGGTCAGCCTCAGGGGTGGGTTGTGGTACATGGGCAAAAAATTTTGTTAGAAGTCGGTCCAGGGTCTTTTCTAGTGCATTTTCGATGCGAGTGACAATCGTTTCAATAAGATCATTTTCGATGCGAGTGACAAGAGTTTCAACTAAATCAGGATTTGTGAGAGAATTTTGTGAGAGATGGTTGGACCCTGGGGTTGTGGGATTGTCGGAGACAGGGATATCCGGTACACGCGAAGGTTGTGGTTGAGTGTGAGGTAGAGGTTGGTGATGGGCTGAGGAAGGTTTTTTTAATGCACTGCTGTATAGCAGGTTGGTGGTAGGGGGAACCTTCATTTTCGCTGCTGCTGCTACGTAAGAAGGACATTGTTTAAATGTGATGTCATGATCGCCACCACAGTTTGAGCAGGTGAGTGTATCCGATGCACAGTTTTGTGTGTAGTGGGAACCAGAGCATTTCCCACATTTGATATCTTTAGTGCAGCCCTTCGAGGTATGGTTAAAACCCTTACATTTAAAACATTGGGTGGGACGCGGAACATACACCTCTAGTTTGTGGAGGAAGCCGTTTAACCAAATCCTATCAGGGGGAACGTAGTCCAGAAAAGTAAGCAGGGCGGTGCCTGTATCACTCAGTTCTCCGTTCGTTCGTCGCATAAATTTTTTGATTTCATAGAGTGGGATGCCATTCGTCTTGAGTTGTGCCTTAATGTCTTCTGCGCTGATGTCTACAACATGCCGGATTACATATTTCACTAATCTGTCTCCTAGTGGTTTATAGCACTTAACTTTGTAACCACAGATGTCAGTAATGTTTGAAATCTCCAGTTCCGCGCTGTGTTTGTGATCCACTGCGATCAGGTTCTTTAGTTTGTTTGGTCTGATATCGTGCACGTCGATTCCGAATTTTTGGGGAATGGCATTATATAGGATGCTTTGTGCCCTACTATTTCGGAAAATACTCTCATCTTCGCCCTCAAAAGCAATGATAAAGGTTTGTAACTCAGAAGAGCTTGGCCTACCTTGGTTGAGCGGTGGGTGTTGATATTGAGGCCGCGTGGCGTCGGCCTCATTTCTGTTTACCTCTGATAAATGGCGGCGCTTTGCCTCCAGTCTGTTTGCCTTACTATGGTGTTTGCTGTCCATGAATTCTCCTTCGGGCTCCTCTTCTATGACCGGGTGACGTTCAGGATTCAATTTTGTGGTATGCAGTAGTGGTTTTCCAACATCTTCTAAGGTATCGTCGATGGTTGTACGAGAGACGCCACGTGCGCCTCCAGCAGCCGCCATGACACCGGCCACCTCCGCGGGAGCTCACTCAAAACACACCCAAACACGACCGCGTCCAACACGCAACTCATTACAAAATTCAGTAGTGTTATACCAGTATAATGCATTTAGGTACTGTAATTGGGAGTCGGTTAGTTTAATTGTGCTTTTGAAAAATTATGGCACTTTACTTAGTGTTGTGTTATGCTGGTAGATAAGTTTTGTGTGGTAGCTGTAATTGAACTCTAAATTTTGCACAGCTAAACTTCACCCAAAGAGCTTGGGAAAAAGATTGGTATGGAATTGTATCATTTTTAATGTTGCTCAAAAGGCATTTTGGAGCTGTGATAATATTCTCACTGACAAGATGCATTTTAGGAATTCGTGCAGTAACTAGTGATGTTGAAGGTGTCCACCAATCTCTGCTACACATGCATCATTACCTTACACCACCACTTCCTTTGCTAATAGATACCTTAAGCCTTTAAAAAACAGTTCCTCTGCTTCTCTGACTATCATTCAAAGTATGTAAGTAATAGTTTTTATTCAGTACTGTATAATATTATTTTATCCAAAATTTGTCATTCAAAAAAAGATATCAGTTGTGAGGAAGCTCCTCCCACATTTAGAACATTGTATTTATTGGACCTCTGCTTCCCAGTTACAGACAGAGGACACTAAAAAAAAAAATTCAGCATGTATTCCTTTTATAAGTAATTGACTTCCTCTGTGGTGATGTACCTTGTCAATGAGAACTGGTGTATTAGTATTATACTAACTTTTATCACTTAAGTTGTATCATATATACTATATCCATACATAGGATATTTAATTACATATGGCTAAATGTTCGTACTTGAAGCTAACACTGGCAAGTAGCAAACATTTGCATATACGTACTGTATTGTACTATGAAAATATGATTTCTGAAGCGTTAACTTTGTCCAAATTTAATTGTTTAATTTCAGCATAACTCTAAAGTTATTCTTAAGTTATACACTGTACTGAATTTTCCCTCATCTTTCAGACTTGTCATGAATTGAGTAGAAAGGTGTGGCGTGATTTTGAGGGGGTTGTAGGTGAAGTGCGCACCTACACCCATCACCTGCATGGACTGCTCCAGAATACTGAGACTTCTGTCATCAATACTGCTTATAGTCTGGCCACTCAGTACCACAACACTCTCACCACACATGTGAGTAGATTATAGTCTGGCCACTCAGTACCACAACACTCTCACCACACATGTGAGTAGTCTCTCTTACTCTAAGTTTCAAGATGGTAAAGTTGGTCTTGCTAGTTTTTACCTTGACTGATTTTGAAACATTTCAGAGACTGACCATACTAAAGGAGAAAATTCACGTTTGTAAAGTAATTTTAGAAGGAGTGTGGTGCACTATCTTAAATAGAAATGTGCATTTGTGATGTCCAAGTACTTATTAGATTGTCTAAATTGTAATAATTTTCAGAATTGGATATGAAATTTGAACATTCAATAAAATGAATGAAGATCTAAATATATATTTTAAAGCATTGTAATGACCAAGCTCAGAAACAATAACCAAATTTAGTTGCTCGTTTTTTGGGGGAGGGAATCCCTTGTGGCTCCATGAAGCTAATACAGTATATACGGATATTTATTTTATTTATTTATTTATTTATTTATTTATACTAGAAGGTACATTGGATTGTGAGAGTATATAATAATATTTTATTTAGGAAAAGTACATACATAGAGGCAGAGTTACAAACATTCCGATTGATTTATAGATAGATCTAGTACATACAATAGCTAAAGCCACTATTACGCAAAGCGTTTTGGGCAAGGTGAGGTGGGGAAAAAAACACTTGGACTAAAACTTAAAAGTAATTGAGCTTAAAGTATAAATTGCATTGAAAGAAAAAAAAAAGATAAAAAAGGGGGGGAACATGGTAGAAAATAGTTAAAATACAAGTTGGTCAACAAACAGCATTGTTTAAAAAAAAATAGTAGGACATGGGTTGACATTTAGGGGTAAGGTTGGTAACAGGGAGTTAATTAGTTAGTGCTTAGTTTTCATCTTAAACTGGTTGAGAGAGGTACAGTCTTTAACATGACTGGGAAGGTTATTCCACATTCTGGGTCCCTTGATATGTAGAGCATTTCTAGTTTGATTAAGTCATACTCTTGGAATATCAAATAGGTATTTGTTTCTGGTGTGGTGCCCACGGGTTCTGTTACAACCTTCTAAGAAGCTTTTAAGGTCAGGAGTGACGTTACAATTCAGAGTTTTAAATATATAGAATACACATGAGAGGATGTGCAGTGACTTAATATCTAACATATTCTGAGATTTGAGTAAGGGTTGAGTATTAGGAAAAAAAAATAGTGAACGGTGATTCGTGGAACAGTGATGTGGAATGGGTATCACAACAACATATAAGTTGGAAGTGAAGGAAAATCGTGCATAGAATATTATAAATATAGAATACTAGAAATATAGAATAGTGGCAAGAGGCGGCATCAGTGGTTATAAATCGGGTAACTGGAAACTGGTGACATCAACCTGGGACACAAGAGGTCACCTGTATTCACCGGGGACCAGCTTCGCTACCCTACGCTAAGTACCTGCCGTAAAGTTTGAACAAAATAACATACATAATATTACTAATATACGGTATACATATAATATTATAAATATTAAACATATAAATATATATACATATAATTTTATAAAGAGTTAAAAGGACTGACATCAACAAGTGATCCATACAGTGACTCTCAAATACAACACAATACACCAGACAATGGAGAGGTGTGGCGAGTGTTCGGGAGTACTGGGAAGACGTAATGCAGGCGTAACGTGCTGCATCTGTAACATAAGATTTCACCTGGGCTGTACAGAATTAGCTCCAGGATGCATAAAAAGGCAAGGAATTTACTGGGTTTGCAAAGATGACAGATTAATGTTAGAGAACATAACTAAACTGATGAAAAACATTCCCGAGTCACAGAGATTATCATTCACAGACAGGCTACCAGTGATATATGCGGACTGGGAAAAGTCAACATTGGATAACGACCAAAACTCAGGAACAGATAGTTTGGAGAACTGCAGCAGTAGTGTGGAGGAGGAGACTATTGTGGTACAAAATAACAGCAATATTGCAGAGCCAGATAATATAAACGATGAGAGCAACAGTGAGACAGAGTGCATAGATGAAGGAATTGGGACGAAAAACGGAGATGGCTCCAATAAAGAGGTAGACAAGACAGTCACAGATATAAATACCTTGAAAAATGCAAAACCGGAACACATTTGCAAATTCCACGCTAAAGGAATATGCAAATATGGAAAATTAGGAGCAAAATGCCATTTTCTGCATCCTCGAAAATGCAGGAACATGTTGGAGAGGGGTACATGCCGTTTTGGAACAGGGTGTAGATACTTCCACCCTAAATTATGTCAATTTTCAATTAGGGACAAAAAATGCTACAATCTTCATTGTCTGGAATTCCATGTGAGAGGTACAGAGCGTTATAGACGGGAAGATTAATATGACACTACTGGAAATTTTTTAGAGGAAGGCAGAAACAGAGTAGTAAATATAAGAGAGGAACAGTCAGATGGAACCACTACAGGATTACAGAGGGGAACGGAGATACCCACAAGACTGAAATTCAAATTACCAACAAGCACACAGGTACTACACCAGACAAATCCCGTCCTACTACCAAAACTGGACGAATCACTTCCAAAATGACACACCCTGGACGCAAACACAGTGGCCTCCTTACCAGAGCCTCAGATATTAACACCAAGTAAGGCTTCCAGCACTTCCACTAACACGATAACATCATTTATATTTGCCAACATCCAGGGTATAAAAACACGCAAAACCAACAAAGTTCAATTTATAGATGGTCTCCTTCATGAGGCAAATGCAGTGTTTGCAGCCCTAACAGAAACCCACACAAAGGACTACCATGATGGTGAAATATGGATCTCAGAGTACAATCTTTTCAGATGTGATAGGAAACACCGGCTTCAGGGTGGGGTCAGCCTCTACATCAAAGACACACTCATCTGTACTGAGCTGCTAAACACCTCAAATGATATGGTGGAAGTGCTGATAATCAAAATAGAGATTTTAAATGTAGTTATTGTCCTAGTATATAAGTCACCGGAGGCAAACCCTCAGCAGTTTAAAGACTGTAGCGAGTAGATTATCCCAATAATATACTCGCTCCAAATATAGTGTTAATATTCCTGTCAACCTTTGGAGATGAATGAGGTGAGGCGTTGCCCGGGCAACACGGTGAGGTGTTGCCCGGGCAACACGGTGAGGTGTTGCCCAAGCAATATAAGCAGCGGTGTAGCGAACATTGGCGAGTCTACTTTCAAGTGTGGTCTAGAGCAGACACTTGCGAGATACTGTACCAACGCTCAGTGCGCTCAACTCACACCAACGTATCACCTGTGTACTTCTGTATATTCGACCAAATATATATATAGTATCTTAGTGTCTGTGTTTATTTGTCACCATACTTTACGTAACAATAGAACCGTTACATTGGTGACCCCAGAGAGTTTCGACGATACCCAGCCACGATGGACTCTCACTGGACCTCCACTGCTGCTGCTTGCTGTGGACCGCAGCCACCTGTCATGGAACGTAGCCAACACCCTTGCCATAGCTATGATTTTCATCACGATCGTCTCTGCATTTTCATCTACTATGGCTTGCTGCTCCACGATCGTTACTCACTCATCTGACAGCCTCATCAATGATTACATCATGTTGGATCTACAGCTTGTCCTGCCGACTCTCCGTCGCTGCCAGGGCACTGCTTGTCCTACGCCCACGACAGCTGCTCTGTCATCAGATTCATCTACACGTTCACTGCATTTTGATACTCGGCCGACTCAAGCCCTTTGCGCAGTACAGGACTTACAGCTTGCGTTTCCGACACTTCGTCGCCTTCAGGACAATTCAGCTCTAGATGTGATTACCTCGTTGTCCTAACTACGTGCTTACTTTACCTCCTAATGTCCTGGTGCCCGAGCCCATCCGCCCCGGATCTAAATGCTCCACCAGCGACCCAAGGACGCAACAATTATGCACATTCTTCTCTCCTGCTACACCGAGCTTGTCCACACACTGCCTACATCTTTTGGTACCAGACTACAATTTCCACAGTCAACAATGTAGTACTCGGCGTGTACAGTCCTAATCAACCCAAGACGCTACAGCTTCGACACAGAGCAGACAGCAGACTACGACCGCATCGAGCCGCCACGCTCTCGCTCCCCGAGTTTAGACACTCGCAAATCTCAATCGAGCCGCCACGCTCTCCCACATAGAGCTCCACGACTCCGGCCTCACTCAGCTCTCTGCTCTGCTCCAGGCTTCGTCTCAACGTCTGCGACACTGCCAAATCCAGAGACACATCCGCCGACTACGCAGTTCATTTTTCGACCCCAATTACCAGCCGCACCACAACCCTCCTACGACGACGGACGACCTCCCAGCACAGGATCCTCCTACGACCCCAGTTAGATGACATCAGCGAAGAGGAGGAAGTTAACTTTGATGGTTATGTAACGCGAGCAGGGCGTACAATTCACCGACCAGCTAAGTTCCTTGATCAAGTATTTTTCCTTTCATCCCCTGGGAGGGGGAGTTCTGTAGCGAGTAGATTATCCCAATAATATACTCGCTCCAAATATAGTGTTAATATTCCTGTCAACCTTTGGAGATGAATGAGGTGAGGCGTTGCCCGGGCAACACGGTGAGGTGTTGCCCAAGCAATATAAGCAGCGGTGTAGCGAACATTGGCGAGTCTACTTTCAAGTGTGGTCTAGAGCAGACACTTCCGAGATACTGTACCAACGCTCAGTGTGCTCAACTCACACCAACGTATCACCTGTGTACTTCTGTATATTCGACCAAATATATATATAGTATCTTAGTGTCTGTGTTTATTTGTCACCATACTTTACGTAACAATAGAACCGTTACAAGACCAACTAATGAAAATAGAACACTGCTTGGAAAACCTCACAAATCCAGCTCCGAACATCATCCTGCTTGGGGACTTCAACCTACGGCACCTGAAATGGAAGCACCTGGCTAATACAGTAATATCAGAAAGAATACCAGGAAGTAGCCTAAATGAACAGGCACATGCAAATGACCTGCTACGGATGTGCG